TAACCTTGTGTTCCAAAAAAAATGAAAGCTATAAATAATAATGGCGCTTTTAGAAATTAATGCAGAATTTGTAGAAACCGTGTTGGTAATTGCATTACTTGGGACTCAGTGCCCGTTTAGCTTGAGGCAACGAAACTCACTCACTCACCCATGATCGCTAATTCCTGTAAATGTAAGATAAAATTATTTATAACTTAAAAGTTTAATCACGGTTTTCCTGTGCAGTACTTATTTTGCACTTTCTTTGTAAGTCAAGTCTCAGATGCCGCTGGTAAGGTTTATCTACTACCCTGAGCTGTGGCATCCCCATGTGTCGTGCAACTCCGTGGCCTCCAAAAAAATCTCCGCTGTAATTATATTGGGGAAAATGCTCTACAGCAAAAGTGCAGCTATATGTAAAAAAAGATTTGCATTCACGTTAACCGTCCCCTGAGTGTTACAAATCCATTCGACTCAGGAAAGGGAGATAATGAGCCAACGTGGCGTCTTGGCTGTTGAAGACTGAGTTCATTCCACGTATACCGGACCAGCACGCCGAATCAACTAATCGCCAGTGACGTCATTGTGAGGAAGGAAATGAAATTGAAAAAAAATTGACACCTCACTTACGGTTTGATTCTCCCTGCTAATCCTAGTTGGTTTCAAATTGAAAATTATAATATTTTATAGACTGTTAATCGAGAAATTTGTTTTATTTTTTGTCAATGGATTAGATATTTCTAGTCGTTTATTGTTAACATTCGAAGTGTGTTATGAATATTTTTTCTGACGATGTGGGATAGACGGGAGTGTCGGACGATAATATTTCCTTTGCATTCGATTGCTGCGATGTAACAGTGTTAAGTGAGATTTCAACAAATCCATTTTTTGGTACAGATTTCCAAAGAAATAATCCCAATAGAGCTCTAATATAAAGTTTGTATCTCTATTCGAACATCTTGATACGACGGTTATCGTAGACATACCAAACCATAACCACGGACCGTTATACCATGTTATAGTCACGAAAATAAACCTGCAGCCTGGAAGTTAACCAGGGTGTATATTATTTAAAAAAAAAACACCACGGGAGTTTTAAATATAACGGAAAAATATGATATTCACGAAAACAATGTGCGCGTAGACATAATATTTTTTTCTTTAAAAAATGCAGATATTATTAACAAATATTTGACCTGTGTTTTTAATATTTATATATAAATAATTCCCATCATGTATTTCATGTTTGGACTCGCTTCGCACATACAGACATAAACAACCAGAGCTAGTTATGTCACGAAATCGCCTTTACAAAAAGCATGTTTGATACCAATTGTTTGCAGTATTTTTGTTGGAAAGCGTGTAGCCATTTGGACAAGGATGGTTTAAACATTATGGGCGCTATTCCGCATAATGCCATTAATAACGCGTGACTGCCCTTTTCACTCCATACACATATCCTCCTTGATCTGTTTTCGTTTCGGGTCAAATCGAAGTTTATAACGCAGTAGTCTAAGGCCAAACGTTGCCGTCAGCTATGCGTAAGGCAGAATAAGAAAACTGGTTATAACCCTAAGGGGTAAATCACACCGTGGTAAACAGGTACAGTTTAAGACTCACTGTACTCGCATGTCTGTTGTACACAATACAAAGGTGCAAGCTGTCGCATGGTAACAATAATGCACGTGACGTCATTATCGTGTTCTAGAATATTATCAGTGATAGAAGAACATATTGATGGTCAGTTGGTTGCCATGGTTATTGCGTTTTCAATTATCGTGAGATAAAATCAAGTTAAAACTACAGTTTAGTTTCTGTCATTTTTTTTTTAAATGAATAACTATATATTTCAGGCTAACACGACGACATAATTTAGCATGCATCGTTTATTTGAAGATGTTGCGCGTAGAATGTAACAGATTTGATGGCTTAGTTTATCGCATTAAATATCCACAAAAGAAGAAATTATTTCTTGTTGTTCAAATAAACTTTGGGTAAATGTAATATTAACAATGAATGAATGGCATATCCCAACACCATGTGGCAGTTATTTTTGTTTATTGAAAGTTGAATCACTCATTGGAAAAATGAGTGGAGCTAAATGTTTTGTGAAGGTTGTTAAACGCCGCAACACTATGCATCTCTTTGTACCATTTCCAGCAATGGTTGGTTCCCTCGCACATTGTAACAGAGGAGAAGAACGGCGTCAATTGAAATGTCACTCTGCACAGCGCTACACAGCCTGTCTCGTTTCCGCCGACTCCAGCGTGTCTGCAAAGTAAACGATATAATACTCTTCACAAATTTGCACGTATTTGTCAGAAAATTGGCGAACAGACTGCAAATTGAAATAAAAAATATATAATCGCATTATCGGGTTAAATTTTGGAAATTGCGTCATTTCCTATAATGTTTTATTTTCAATTTTTTTATTTTTTTATTTTTGACAATTTTATTTTTCGATGAATCGCGGGATTTAAAATAAACCTAGAGAATACACGTGAATCGTTTCGCAATTTAAGATTACCAGTCAGACATTTATTTTGAATTAGTATCGTTTTATGGATTAAAGGATTAAGTTCTAGTGAGTTTGGGTGATTACTTAGGCATCTGTCATATATATATATATATTCAAAGTCGCACATAGAACGTCGAATAGTAGTCGCTTGTGCATGCCAGGTATATCCGTCGCTATTATATCACGCTACTAGATGTGGCCTTTGATTTAATAATATTTTAAAACATCATAGTGCTTAATTAAGGCATTTCTGAATCTACATTGACTTTCGTACGTTCATGAATGGGCCTAATTCCAAAAAAAAACATTCGGCATTCACATATACAACACAGCCCACTTCACTTTTCAAATCGCTGGCTGCATTTATTTGGTTCGTCCTACTACGACAGCTCACTAACTGCGAGGGATTCTAAAGCGTTAATTAGGCAAACATTCAGAAAGACTGAAAGGACGCGTTTTGAAATCGACATAGATGGAGACTCGACATCGCCCTTAATGATGCTACAGTCTCCGATTCAACATAGCGGACTTAGATCTACCGCTCTATAAAGGTATACCATGTCGATACAAACACGGCTCCATCAGTTACCAGTTAATATCGAATTTACTTTTCGAAAATAAAAGTATAGAATATCAAGTGTTTCCTTTAACTTCAGTGTTTCCAAGGAGGCATAGTTTGGTGGTACTACACGTGGGTTATCATCGTAGTCGTCGGCGACTTTTGTTAAATTCCATCTAAATACCCGGACTTGTGCTAAAATCGCCATGTTTATATGCATGGGGGTAATTAGATTGGGGGGACTGATATCGGATTTCATAAACATAACTGCACTGAGCTCCTCTAAGCTTGTGTCTGAAGATAAGTTGGCAGGAGAGCCAAACCACACACTGAGTGCCAATAAAAGACGAGTTCCCGCCTTGTTTACCACTGCGCCGAATATGCCACATACCTCTGCGCGACTTACAACAATATGTGTCGTTCCCATGTGATGTTAAAAAAACTAAAGATATTTGAGGAATTTAGCCGAGAAACTGCGTCAGTTTAGGTAAAACTCGCCACACTTGAAATGGGCTATTATTGGAGCGTCAATGTGCTTAGTCGGTCCAAGATAAGGACTGTTCAATACTAAGTAAAACAAATTCCCTGCATACATTGCAAATAACTAGACTTGCTTGCTGGATATTGATTTCGTACAAACATTTGGCCTCGTTATCGACAGCCAGAGGCCGAAAGAGATTGATAAAAGCGTACGGTATATTCTATTCGGCTTCAAGCAATGCTCTGTCTAACCCCATTGATACCGCCAAGTCTTAGCCTACTCAACAATGCGATGTTTATGTTAAACCGCTTCACAATTGCCGCCTTGCTCAAAGTTAATAAATAAAAAAAAAACGAGCGAGCCGCCGTGTTCAGTGCGGTCGCCATTTTGGTGTGTCTGAGACACTATCTCATTTGTTTATTGTTCAGCGTTAACGGGCTATTAATTAGGGAGTCATTAGGGGCACCAAGCAAATGAAACAAACGAGCTGGGCGTGGCCTAGTGATTAATGGGAGGTCTGACTACCGTGTATTGTTGGGCTTACTTGCTATGCAAATGTACGCTATTGTCAGCCTGAATAGCTCGTCAATTGAATGACAGTTGATATGTCATGGGGTCTCTTACAGCGCGCTAAGCCCCGCCCCTGTAATTACGCTGGTGCCCATGGAGAAATGATGCCTTTACAACAACGCCGTGCGTTGTGGAGCTTAGATAAACAATCAAGCCGTACGGGGAGTTCCGTGCCTAATCTAACCAAATTCACTCCACAATCCACCTAGATATACGCAGATTTTAGCCACCAAAAGCCGATCATGTCAATTCTTAACAAAATGTCGAATAAATGGCGACTCAAGTCGACTATGCGTTGTCAGTTCGATAGGTAAACATAGCTTACGAAAACCCTCACAAACTCGACAATAGATTTTAGCTCCTGTGTTTACAACAATGGGACACTTTTGCACTAATTAGGAGTTGATGGGCGGGAATAAATGACATGAAAATAATACAAATAGTGAAAGGCCAAAGAACAGGGAATAGAGATTTAAGTTTGGTCCATTCTTCCACAGATCTATTCACGGCGTTTTTTCACAAATTTGTTCTGTTTTGTATGCTATTCCATGATCCTTTGAAAGTGTCCACAATGCTGCTTTGGAGCATAATGACCCTGGCCCTAATTGTCTATTTTACTAGTGTAAATGTCGACTAATTCCCCCCCCCCATTTAGCGTTGCTTTGCTCCGTACGAATTAAGGCAGCGTGAAAACACGGTACGAGGACCGGGTGTTCCAGCAACCAGTACTGAACCAAACAAAACTGAACGACCTACACTCTTACCGCTAAATGTCGGTCAGGATACAAGCCCACCAAGTGTATTATGTTGGAGGCCAAGTACTTGAGAGCTGTATGTCATGTGATTAGAAACTCGACTCGGATACATAGACAAAAGGGGTCAAAACAACAAAATTCATCTTTCTTGGAAAAAAAACATTTTATATATATTTCCAATGCTTGAAGCAAATACGCTATGTTACAGTTCACTTATGGATTGATTTATAACTCTAGTTTGTGGGGTTCTTTTCATAAAAAAAAGATAAAGCCATATATTTCTGGTGGTCATTAGCAGTATTACATATTAACACAGAGGGCAACATATTAGCTTACGACTACACAGAACAATAACCTGCTGCTTGCATTTGGAAAGCAAAAATAAAAACAATATTTAAAAAAAAAACACAACCGAAGGTGAATAAAAAAAAAGCATGACAAATAAATAAAGCGTACAATTTTGATGGCAACGTAAATCTACATGTAATATACAATTTAAAGATTTTAAAAAACCACTACGAACGAATAAGGCATAGGGGTCGGACTTCAATATATCCTTTTCTTATATAATATGAAAAATATGCTGTTCTCTTGAACAAAAACATTATTTTAAAATAACGGTTCCCTTCTCCCATTGAAGTGATGGTTTTCATAATAGCAAAATATAAGGGTATAAACCCGCGGATATTAAAAATAATAAGCAAGGCTGGTTTTCTGGCATTTGTCAACCGCAATATTTGGTTAAAAAGAATAAAAAACACGGGACAATGTGTGTTTAAAACTTACTGGGTTCCTTGCGAACGACGATACACATGTAGAACACGTACAAAGTAGCTAGGGACCGACCGCCATTGTAGCCGGCGGGTCGACCAACACATCTTCACGCGGCGGCAGAGGTACTGGGCCCGCCATTGTTCACGTATTATGAGTCCAATGTTAGACTATTTTTTAACAGTTATTGGTATGTTCTTGTCCTTCTCGGCTGTCATTGCAAACTTATTGTAAAATGACCTATTACTTTGAAAATATTATCTATATAAATACAAATCGTTCTCTGCCGGCTCTCTAGCGTTACACATGAGTTAATGGCAGTTGTTTAGCGGCATTCGTTGATTTGCTTATCCGGGCACTGCCGCTTTTTCCTAGTAAACGATGATAGAACTTTTTCCACGATTCCAATGTTTTTCCCGACCATATCCAGAAGCCCGATGTGATGCCCACCACAAGGCACATAAAATATTTTAACATGAATACAGAATAGTCTGGGTTCGTTTTGTTCGCCCTTTCGCATGGGCAGTTATAAGACCGTTCCCAGCTCAGACGAAAATGTTGTTCATAAAAATAACAGGCAATAACAATGGTGGCAGGAACCGTGTACAATACTGAGAACACACCAATTCGAATCATCAGCTTCTCCAACTTGTCCGTTTTGGTGCCGCCTTGTTTGATTACATTTCGTATGCGGAATAAAGAGACAAAGCCGGCCAGAAGAAAGGAGGTCCCTATCAGCAAATACACAAACAATGGCGCTAACACGAAACCTCGCAAATTGTCCAGACTTTGATTTCCGACGTAACAGATGCCTGTTATAGGGTCTCCGTCAACGGAACTCATCGCCAGTACGGCTATTGATTTCACGGAAGGTATCAGCCACGCTGCCAGGTGAAAGTACTGTGAATAACTAGCAATCGCCTCGTTGCCCCACTTCATGCCCGCGGCGAGAAACCATGTAAAGGATAGGACAACCCACCAGATCGAACTGGCCATGCCGAAAAAATATATGAGTAAAAATACGACTGTACACACGGCGGGTCCCGTCGTTTCGTAGCGAATATGTTGGTCCATGCATGCTACAGCTTCGTGTCCAACGATGAGACGCACGATAAATCCGACGGATACCAATAGGTAGCAAGCACTCAAAAATATGATAGGTCGTTCAGGATATTTGAATCGTTGCATATCTATGAAAAATGTTGATACAGTCATTGAGGTGGAAATGAAACAGAGAATAGACCACAGTCCGATCCAGAACGATGCAAATGTCTTTTCATCCGCGGTGAAAAATGCTCCCTCGCAAGGGATACCACAGTTTTCAACACCGCCGGTGGAGATTTTATTGTAATAACTTGACTCTTCCGAAATATGTACCATCGGCGACTCGCATGTACACGCATCGCAGTGTTCCGTCGGCCTCGGTCTTTCCGTCACGCCTGCACTAGCTGGGGTTGGGGTCACTGTAGCTTCGCTGCTGTTGAAGTCCATACATATCGTGGTTTCATCCCCAAACTCCGGCAAATCGTCACACCTCATTCTCTCGGGCCAAGCGAAGCCATATTGCCGCATGAGAGGGGCACACCCCGCCTTCGCCCTCTCACACACAGATCGACATGCTGGTAAGGGTTGTTTGTAGTTCATTACACATATTGGTGCGTACATACTGCATAGAAAAAATTTTAAGTCCGGTGAGCACTGGATTTCAACCAGCGGCCAAAATTGGTGAACTTCAAGTCCGGCTTCATCTTGGGAGTCGTGGTTGAACTGATTCGGCATGTAAGTCATATTATAGCCTATTCCACGGCACATTGGGATGGTGATCTCTTCACATGTCATGTCACGCCCTACTGCTAGTGTAGATGGGGGTAGTAAGAGTACAAAGGCGAACAGGGCCAGCAGAGCTCCCGATAACCGATGCACACTCATTTTCACCATACTTGAAGTTGAAATGTCCGTATGATTGGTTTCCACGGCGCTGTTAACAACAGAGAATAGAATCGCACATTCGGATGTACCCAGAAGCCCAGTTATCGACTAATCTAGTCGAGTCGGCCAATAGCTCGGAGTATCTTGAGTAAATTGACTCGATAAACGACGATCACACAGATCCGGGATCTTGTGTTCGATGTTCCGTCATGTTATGTTACGAAAGTAGCCTAAGCACACAAATGGTTGAGTAATGTTAGTCGTTGCTGGTCACGTTCGTCTCGCCAGAAGGAAGGCTGTGAGGCATGACCACAGTAAACGCGGTTACAGGGTATAATCCATTGCTAAGAAAGCGCTCGCAGACACTGAGCAGGCACGTCTTTCTCTCGCGCCGTAGAGGAACGTCTATGCACGAGATGTGGTGATTCTGTCAGCCTATAGCTAACGAGCTCGCACCTATGTGTCAAAGCACTGCTGTCACTTTGCTGTCAGCCCATTATCAACAGTGACAGCTGACGTAACCTGTCAATCAAGCCATTGATCTCCCAATTAGCCTAACAGTTGCCCGTGACGTCACACATCTATAGAATCTTTCTCACCGGGGTTTCTCCAGAATTGTGTCCAAAAACACAGCAGGCTGACTGCACCATCTTTATTTGTGGCAGTCGAAAATTCCAATTTGACCGAGTCCCTTTGTATCGTTCGTCTGTGGAGGGTCCTTTGTTTGTGAAAACCTGCTGGGTACTCATCAACATGGCATTGTTTACCATGGACTAACTTGGCTTCCCTTTTTTTCTATTTAGCAAGAATGGGGAGGCCGGGTTAGCGTTAGCAGCCATTCTATTATTCGTTGTATATGTGTTTAGTTTAAAAAGGGCCCCTAAGAGAAGCTGAACAAATTTACCCACCAAACCACCAGAGGCAACGGTACCGACCAACACTGGAGGGCACACTGGCAGTTAACATGTTAAACAAAACTTGGCACGTCTTTAAGGACCCGGACAATTACCAAACAAACACCACAATTGGACAAGGCAATTTAAATATCTGATAACTGAAAAATAGAAATTTGCCTAAGAGGCGGTTTCAATCGTTTGTACAGAATAAATAGTTAACTGTCGATGATATAATACGACTCAGAACAAATTTAGACTCTGCCTCGAGACACAGCACTGGAAATTACGTTCTAAATTTGAAGTGGATAGTTTCAACGTTTTGATACGTGTGAGGTATTTTGACATGTGCTGTTCCGAGGTTAATTACATGGGCGTGACAGAGAAAACTCTGCGTGGTACGTTAACGGGCTTTTACGAGCATTGTGACGAGCAGCCCTCCATATCTTTACTTATCTAAACTAAAAGCTAAAAGGAGTCAGGCTTAGCCCGTGTTAGCCGTCTTAAGTTTGCATTAATACAAGTGTGTCGCTTTAGTTACAAAAAAAAAAAAAAAAACCTTCGTGGGAAGTCACTAACGGTATCGCAGTGCCACAGTAACAACAACAAATCTTAGTATACTAAAAGCATTGCTCCGAAAAGAGTTCTTCCGCCAGTGGACGGTGGGAAATGGAAAGGAGCAAGTCAAACCATTGGAACATACAAACACAAAGGTGCACGGTTCTTTGATTGGAAAAAAGCTTTTCACTCTGCGATGAATAGCCATTCTAACATCCACTGAAGGCAGGAGCCAATACACCTCACACTCATTACGAATACTTTGCTAGCTGAACAAAAAAAATGGTGACCCCTGAGCCCAATTATGGTTGTCATGGAAACCCACTTGATCGCTAATTGATAGAGCGAAGCTTTCTAAATTTGTCAATGTTTCTTGTCAATGGGATAGGCAGCGTAGCGTGTTAAACTAAACGGCGAATTACCCGATGTTGTGTGAGCCACACGAATGTGCCACCCAATACAGACATCATTTGGTGGAAATCCAAACGGTGTACATAATATATTACGATCTGAAAAGGATAGTAAATGAAAGCACCTTGCCGAGTTGGCTTGTTCGTCTATTATCATCAGAGCAGACTCGCTAAATAATGACCACGTAGAGACCGAAGTAAAAAAACAGCGCTGAACGAGGTCGGGGGAAAAAGAATTCTGTCATTATTTTATTGATTATTGACTTGAATCACTTCTTTGCCATTAGCGCCGTCTCATTACACGCAAATACAGATAGCGAAATAAAGTATAAGCTTACGATACAACAGCGAAACTAATCGATAGATGCATTTGTCCTGCCCGGTTTCCAACGGTATACGACATGAATAAAACACACTAATATTATATATCATATATTTTCGTTTATCTCCTCGTATTGTGATCTTGACACCTCGTATATTTGTAATGTTAATCCACAGTTCGCATATTTAAGCTTTGTGCTAAAAGGGGATGTTTTTGTAATCCGCACACTGTCAGGCGTACCCGTCGGTCACAAGTCAATAAAAAAAAATCGATGTTTTGATTTCAAGTGACTTTTGTAAAAGTACGCTCGTAATCTGGCGATTAGTATCTTGTTTTTAGTCTGCAATGCGGTGCCTTCGCAATAACCCATGGTTTTGTAAGAGTTGTCAGTCTCGTGTGGAACTACAGTGAGTGACATCGACGTATGTAATAGATACCGATGATGGAGGCAGCCATTTTGAAAAAAAAACGATAACCAAATTAGACGCAAATTATAAGAAAATTACACAGAGAAACATATTTTAGCGTCGGGGATTGAGGGAGATGACATGATTGGTTTTTGACGATAACGGAAATCGCCATTTTTCCAGTGGATTTGAATTCTGGGAGAAAGAAGCAGCAATGATTGCACCGTTTATTTTCACTGCGGGGTTGGGTAATTTCGCACACGATGTCAGGACAGAGTTTTCCGTGTCGTCGCGATCACGTGCTCGTATCAGTCGGATTAATTATTTGTTTCGCTGAATCGGAGTCGGTGTGTATTTCAGTACACCCGTCGCTGATTTCCGAGTATCACTCATAACACGAGTAGCGGACGAAATCTGTCACGTCAATGTTTGGTGTGAACCATCTCCTTAGCGCGTTGGGGAGGGAAAACAAAGGGGCGCCATTGATTTCACACCAAATGGTCGTGTTTATTTATCCCTCCCACATCATCAGCAGCATTGTTGTTTTTGCTGATTGTGTACAGTATAGGCTGGTGGTGTTCGTTGAATAGTCGGACCTGTCAATCACTATCGCTCTCCACTAATTCGACAGCTTCTATTGAGATGGTTGTTTAATGAGTCCTCCTACTTCCCTCTAAGTTATTGTTCGTCAAAACGACTTGCTAGCAAGATTTAGAGCTGGAGCCCCGGGGGTCGATCACGGAATAACCAAACGATATGCGCAGTCTCTCATATATCGAGTTTTGCTTGCAGACATGATCCGAATTAATACAAATGTAACGTACACCGTATATTAGACGAGAGTATATGTACGCAACACGATGTTGCTTCTATATAACTTCTACAGCGCCGGCAGATACGAGCAATTATTAGCTCCCGCCATTTTCTGTTTTAAAAAGTTATTTACAATTTTGTATACAAACTTGTATACAAGTACCGGGTCAAATTAATAGGAATCCAATAACTTTTACAACTCGTACAAATATAAAAATATAGCAAAACATTGCCCTAAACTCTCAAATTTGACAAAATTATAAGTTTACTTTTAATTTAAGTTTAATTATAATAACTTTACACAAGTAGTAACTCTTCATTAACAAAAAGAAAAGCAAAAATTCACGAAAACAACCCTTAAAAACACACTGCAAATATCGGCACTAACTTGGAACCCATCTAAATATTACCTGTCTTTATGAACCAAACAAAACAACACAACGATCAGAACGATTAACTGTACACGATTTGTAGATATGACCATGTCCACGTGACCCAGCAGTCTGCGATGGCCTCGAGGTTCTAGAATCTCGTGTCTATTACACTATTGTATGTAACGTTATACGCGCTCCATCAACTAACCCGTCTGGGTGTGTGTAGTTTTCTTACATCGTAAAAAAAACATATCACAATATACGCCCATGTGATATTAATGACAATACGTAACATTTCATATCTATTATTTAAAGTAAATTTGGTAATATTACAGATTGACACAGAGACTTATGATTTATTTTATTCTAAATATTATTGAAGAAGAATTGTGCATGGGTACATTAGAAGTGATACTGATCATTTAGTGCACGTAGCGCTTCGGTGCACCAGTCACATGCCTGATTAGACTCAAATGATAATTTCATATATTATTTTTGTCATGGTTAAAACAATTTTATGAATGTTATGATGATGGATAGTGAGATGATTATTTTAAGCAGCGAGCTATGTGATGTACGTGAAATATCTGACAGTGTAGTTAACGAGTGATCGTGCCCCATCGAGTTGTACGCGCGATGCGCTCGTCGTCCCGTACACGCGCGATAGACGACATTGCCAGTAACGCCGTCGCAATCGCACGATTATTCAACACTGCAATTCAATTCTGATAGAAAAATGCGTAAAATTAAAAAAAAAAATCACGGGGGGTGACCCATAGTGCTTGCTTGCCATGAGTTGGCGACTGTTCTGTTTTAGAGGATTATAATAACCCGATCTCATTTCCCTTCCATTTTGATCAAGTGGAATTAGTCGCCCAGTCTTCATTCTAAAGCAGCCACAAATACTCATCCTAGTCATACTACATTACTTAGTACGTAACTGAAGTACAAGTGACGTTTCCTGTCTTCCAAAACATGCGTTGTACGTTGAGTACTACTCTGGTTAATTAAAAAAAGATAATTCCGTAATAGCTGGGGTATTTTTCAATTACAACCAACTTGTCATTATCATTGATTCCTTTATATCTTGTACTCCATCTACTCGAAAATACAAACAGATTCAGGATTATTAAAAAAATCACAAACAAACCTTGCACCAAATATTAATCATTTTGTTTTAAAAGTAACCAAACCCAGCCAACTCGACAACGGTCTATTTTCTACAATTAATATGTAAAAAAATATCGCTAACTGACTCAAAATCGGTTTCGTTCCTCGTGTGCGTAGTGTATTATGGGTAGTTCTGATCACCGAACGACCGACTTTTTAGAGCAATATACGGTTATTACATTAATTTTGATTCCTTACATCCGGGTTTCAATTCAAAGATGAAAACGCTTCTACGAAAAGGTCACGATGTGAATATTCCATAATTATATATATATATATATACATGTATATGCCATCAGTGTAATTATACGAATATGTCATAACGGTCATTGACCACGTGACCTTTTAGTGAGTTCCAGTGTACATTTAGATAATTAGTATTCACGTGCTGCATTCCATCATGTCGGGACTAGTAAGAAATCCGACCGTTCACTCTGGTAACCTAACAACTCGTGGACGGAAATTTGATACAACAACGAGCAACCTTCTTTACAGTATTCAGTTGTATATTATAATTACCAAATTAACAACTGTTTTTCTTTCAATTTACGGCCTTTAAATTACAAGATTTCTTTTACCATCTAAGTATTCACTGGTTTGCATTCAGACTACGGGAGTATCGACTTCTTCACCGGTTATGGCTATCAATTCACGCATATCCCGTTACGTTGAATGATCAGCTAATATATAGCCCCACACAT